ATTCTCAGCACCACATAAAAATAAATAAAATAAAGGTCCATCAACAACTAAAAAATATTTTAAAAAATAGAAAAATGTTGACTATAAATTCCACCTTTTCAGTATTTATATCAAACATAAATTAAATAAATATACCAAATAAAAAGAAGATATTGGTGAATGGGTTTTTWAAAAATGTAATTCAACTATATGAGATTATTGCTGTCATGTTAGGTTAGATAGATTGCACAAACAGTTAAAAATAAAAAACCTACAGTGGCCATAAAAATATAAAACTGAGACAAAATTGTTTCTAGAAGCAAAAAACATTTCATAGTGATTCATATAAATGGAATCAACAACAATCCTTYAAGAAGATTAATCAGCATCCAGAGTTGCTAAAATACCTGATTAAAATTTCTAGTTTTTTGACAACAATTACAATATATGAAGAGGAGGAAGATAGTAACCCATACTCTGGGGTAGAAACTGTCATTGAGGGACMCAGATATTGAACTTAGTAAAATTTCAAAACAAATTTTGAATATGCTCATAGAACTAAAGTAAATCATGCCTAAAGAATTGGAAACTAATAACAGCAGTGCATTAAACAGAGACTATCATAAAAGGATAAAGATKATTTTTAAGAGAACAGAATGGTCATTTGGGGATTGAWAAATATGAATGAAATGAAAAASTAACTAAGAGATTCCCAATAACAGATTTGAGAAGATGTAAAAAGACTTACTCAGAATGAAATAGATCAATAGAAAGTATCTACTCTGAAGAACACTGAGAAAAAAGRATGAAGAAAAATAAAATATTTTTTAAAAATGTAGGATACAATCTAGTAAATCAACATGTTTATAATGGGAGCTTCAGAGAGAAGAAATACATTTTAAGGGRAGAAAGGAAACATGAATAAAAAATTAATAACCCAAGACTATCCAAATATCCACATTTGATTAAAAATATTAGAGATCTRAAGAGCTGAAAAGAAAAAAAAATGACAAGCAGAATAAACACAAAGAGATCCACTCCTTGCTGCAACATAATCAAATTACTGAAATATGCAACGACACCTCAAAATCAGCAACAGGAAAGTTACTTGATATACACAAGGGATAAACAATATCGATAAGAGCTGGCTTCCCATAAGAAAAACTAGAGAATGCACGCAGTGGGATGATAGCTTGGACTGCCTAAAGGAAACTACCAAGAATTCTGTRGAGATCAAGCAATACAACACTTTGACAATTAAAGCAAAATAAAGACATTKGTATATAAACAAAGAGAATTTGCAGCTAGCAGACCCRCTTTGCCAGACATAATGAAAGAATCCCTCAGGGTGTCACCGTATAACAGCTTAAATCCATATAAGGCAGTAAAGAGTTCTGGAGAAGGTAAGTATTGAGGRTAGATAGATAGATAGGAGATAAAGTGATATATTTTCTTCTCTTAATTGACTTAAAATACATTGCATAAAATAATGACAAAACTGTACATTAGGCATATCACATAAAGATAGGACATGGGACAATAATGGCACAAAGGGAAGGAGGACAAAATGGAAATATGGGAAAGATTTCTGTATTTTGCCAGAAGTTAGTATTAGTCCAATATAGATATATTTGTGTGTGTGTGTGTGTGTGTGTGTATATATATATATGTATAACTTAACCTCTGGAGCAGTTAAAAAATAATTTAAATGTATAGTTTTAAAAAAAATAACAAAGACAAGAATTAAAATAGTACACAAGATAATATTCACATAAAATAAAGAAATGAAGGAGAAAGAGCTGAACAAAAAAGATATGAGACAATAAAAATATCAAAACAGCATACATTGAACCAACAATAACAATAATTTTTTTAAATCGACTTCTCATATCTTTTTTAAAAAAATGTATGATTTAGTTGTAGGTAGACACAATACCTTTATTTTGTTTTTATGTGGTGCTGAGGAGCAACCCCAGTGCCTCACACGTGCCAGGTAAGCATTCACTGAACCCCAGCCCCARCCCAAAAAYAAYAGTTTTATTAAATRAAATGGAGTACACATTTCCCAATAAAAAGGGAGAAAYTGTCAGATTGGATTTTTAAAATGATAATCCATTCAAAGARTAATAAAAAATGAGTGGAGATGGCTATATTAATATCAGACAAAATACACTAAGACAACATTATTACCAGAGAAAAAGAGGGACATTTGATAATGACAAAAGTTCAAATGATATAATAATTATAAAAGTCTATCACCRAACAAAAGGAAGAACATATAACTCAGCTATACTAGTTGGAGACTGCGATATCTCACTTTTAGGACAGTTACCAGGATATCAGTAATCTATAGGAGACTTCAGCAAAAATGTTAACAAGCATGACATATGGGGCATTTATAGACCATTCCAGCACACAATAGCAGAACACACATATTCTTCAAGCAGAAGAAAACAGACCAACACYATAGTGACCACACAACAAGTCTCAATAAAATTTGAAAGGATTGAAACCATGCAAAGTGTRCCCTGTGACCACAACTGAATTAAATCAAAAATCAAAAACAGAAAGAAACATGGACAAACCCTAAGATTTGGAACTTTTAAATAACCCATAAAACAAAAATAAATTACATGGAAAATTAGAAAATAATTTTTCATTTTCACTGAATGAAAATGAAAGTATAAATATATGCTAAATTTAATGCAAAAGAGCAGTGTTTGAGRGGGAATTGCCTGCAGAGTAGCATTTTTCTATGTTAGTCAACCTTTGAGTCTGAGGAAGACACAAGTTCATAAATAGTCTCAGGATTAAAATGTGTTGTGAATAATTCTACAATAAGAATTGTAACTTCAACAATGGGGTTGTAGCTCAGCTATAGAGCACTTGTCTATCATGTGCGAGGCCCTGGGTTTGGTCTTTAGCACATAAAAGTAAATAAATAAAATAAAGGTATTGTTTCCAACTATTACTAAAAAATAAAATAAATAGATAGATAGATTATATAGATAAAAACAACACATATTGTTCACTCTTTTCCATRACAACACAGAAGTATTCAAATATAACACAAACTGAACTCGGTTATCAWGGTAATGTTACCCTGTAAACTTATTGTCACAAGTCATTTTTCTCCAAACCCTATTTTGAGCAAATTCTACTTTTTTTAACATATAATAATTGTACATTTTATGGGAAATGATGAGATGATTTGATAGACCTATACCTACACAATGTGTACTGTTCAAATCAATATAGTCAGCATTTCCACCTCCTTAAACACTTCAGGTTCATTCTCCTTTATAGCAAATGAAATTAGAAGAAGTTTCCAAGCCACAAAGAGGTTGTGCAAAACACAAAAAAGAAAAGAAAAAAAAAACAATAGCAACCTAATAATTTCAACAAAAACATTTAGATGGCTTAGGTAAAAGTTGGTTAACTTAAAATAATACAATGACAATTTTCCATAATTTTCTACATAGTAATATGTAGAAAGACTTATAGACTTAGGCTTTCATCATTTACTGAATAAAATATGAAATTTCAAAAGCAGAGATAAAAGATAACAAAAGTCTTACCTCCATCAATACGAAGAGTGCAGCAAAGAACAGAAGGGTTGCCCATTCCACTCTGTGTAGAATTATCTCAAAATCATGGATATCAGCTAAAATTAGCAGCCAGATGGCACCCAGAATAGCAATCCATCCTGAAAAATAAGAAAACGGARATATATATGTTCAATTGTTAATAGACCAATTAATTATTCTCCCCTGATTRATCCCTTATTGAGGATAACTGATATGTGGCAGACTGCACGTATTTAAAATGAATAATTGCTATTTTGACTTAAGTGTAGATTCATGAAACCAACACTATAATAAAGACAAATGCACATACTCTTACTGCTCAAGGTTCATGCATACGCATGCTCTCTACCCCTCTAGCTCCTCCTATCACCCCCCCACACTCTCAGTAAACTATTCATCTCTTCTTTCACTATAGTTTAATTTACATTTTCTATATTTTATATAAATATAGACTCCCTATTAATCATACAGTAYGTATATTTTGCTCTGTTTCTCAAAGGACAGATCATGTAGCTAGAAAATCAATAGTCAGSRTAATTATTTTAAGATTCATTGGTTTTGGTTTGTGGATCAATAGTTCATTCTTTGTCACTGTTAGTAGTACACCATGATATGGCTATGACACATTGTACCATTCACCCTTTGATGGACCTTTGSCTTGTTTCTAGTGTTGAACTATTAAAAATGAGTGTGCTATGAACAATCATATACAATTCCTTGTATATACACATGCTTTCCATTCTCTTRGGTAAATATCTTGGAATGGGATGGTTAGATCATATGAGAGGTTAATATTAAGGAGTGCTGTGTGGAATACTTATGTTTTAAGAAGTGGAAAAACTGTTCTCCAAAAGGATTCCAGTTCCTCCACATCTTCACTGAGAACTGGTCAGTCTTTCTGATTTTAGACATTCCTATGGGTGGGAGATGGATATCTTATTGTGTTTTCAAATTACATTTACCTATTGATTCATCTTTATGTGTACTTATTTGCCATCTCTATATTTTCTTTCATGAAGTTTTTGTCCAAATAGTCTACTCACTTGCTAGCAGAGCCAATTGTGAAACCCAAAATAAACAAAAGAAAAGAAATAACAAAGACTGAAACATGAATCAATGAAATAGAAAACGAAAATATTGGTGATACCAAAATCTGGTTGTTGTTGTTTTTTTAATAAATAACACTAATAAACTTAACCAATCTGAATAGGTTAAAAAGCAAGAAGACAAAATTGCTGATGTCAAGAATAAGATTGATATCATGACTATAGTTTCTGTAGATACAAAAAGGTATTCATTTTCTTCAACTGCCATAACACTCAAACATGGTAGCTTAACACAGCATCTATTTATTATATCACAGTTTTCATAGGCTATAAGTACAGTGGGTTTATAGCAGGGTGTGAATGTGTTCTGTCTCTGCCCCTGAAATATCTTAATTTTGTAGCTTAATTTTGTTCTAYCTGAAACCTTGTGGCATTTTACAAAGGATCCTTTGAACAYGTTCCTGCCTCCAGACATTTTGCAGATGCTTTTTACCAAAAGCAAAGTGTCCTGATGAAACCACTACCTACAGATAAGATGAACCATCACGTATGTCTCATAAAGCCAAAGCCAAGATGTTGGCTGCATTCCTTTCTAGAGACTATGGAAGAGAATTGTTTCCTTGCTTATTCGGGCTGTTGTTATAATTCAATTCCTCAAAGCTATAAGAATGAGGTCCCTACTGCCTTACTGGCTATCATCCAAGAGCTGTTCTCAGCTTCCAGAGGTCACCTACATTTCCTGGCTCCATCTTCCAAGCAATGATGAGTCAAGACCCTCCCACACTTCAGATCTTTTCTGCCTCTTCTGACACATCTCCCCCACTGACCCTTCTTCCATTTTCCTCTTCCATTTTTAAGGGTCCATATGATTATATTAGGCCTGTTTAAGCAATCCAGGAATATCTACCTCTATTAAGGCTTATAACATTAATTTTACTTACAAAGTCCCTTTGACATGTAACAAATATACCCAGGCATCAACACCAGAAATTAGAGTGTAGACACCTTTCAAGTAGGGACTGTAGGTAAGTATGGGTTAATGAAAGAAATTCACATTTTAATAATATAGATTCCACAAACACTGTATGTATCTACATTATTTATGTATTTTTTAGTTTTTCTTAAGAATGTCTTGTACAAATCCCTGCAATCTTTTGTGTATAAATTAGCAAATTGATGCTAAAATTTATATAGTAATGCAAAGGACCTAAAATACCCAAAGCAACTTAAAAAAAAGAAGAACAAAGTTAGAAAATATACATTATGTCGCTTCAAGACTTATCTAGAGCTYCTATTGTATAAAGCTACAATAATCAAAATGGTATGGCACTACAACAAGATAATCAAATTCATCARTGGAGAATCCAGAAATAGACCAACACAGTCATGGCCAATTGATTTCCAATAAAAGTTCAATGGTGATTCAGTGAAGAAAGGGGARTCTTTTCCAGAAATTGTACTATAACAATTAAGCATCCATATGCAAAAGAAATTTTACTCTGATCTATTCATTAATTATATTCAAAAGTTAACACAAATAGATTGTAGGCCTATACGTAAAGTTTGTAAGTATAAAACTTCTGGAAGAAAACACAAGAAGAACCTCTAGAACTCTGGGTTAGGCAAAGTTTTCTTAGATACAATCCTAAAAGCATGATTCCTGAAAGRAAAGTTTTATATTAATGGGACTTTATCAAAATTATGAATTCATGCTTTTCAAAAGGCACTGTTAAATAGAAGTCCAGTAAAGGTTATATTTTCCCTATACATACAAGGCTGTGATAAAATTTAGTTTATAAATCAGGCACAATAAGAGATTGAAAACAATAATAAAATTAGAACAATGACTGYTATAAAAACTGTGAATGTGTTCTCTCTCTGCCCCTGAAATATCTTATTGTACTTCCACTCCCTTCTTGTGATGATGTGAAGTCAAACAATGCCTAYGTGCTGGTATGAAGTAAGATGAGTGATGTAGGTTTGGATGTAGCATTAGCTCGTGTTCACGTAAGCCTTAAGACACTGTGATAGTTGATCTGATAGCTGAGATGGCTAGTAAGTAACCAGGGCAGGAAGCAGAAAAAGTGTGGATACATCAGGCAAAAGGATGAACACATTCCAGACAGAATGGAGGATGGCTAGAGATTTTATCACACTACTCAGAACAGCAGTGCAATTTAAAACTTATAAATTGTTTATTTCTGGAATTTTCCATTAATATTTTTGGACCCTGGTTGACCGTGGATTACAGAAGCCACACACAAAACCACAGATAATGGGAAAAGGAGGGACTATTGTATAGGACTCAGCACTATCTGCATTTTTAGGCATCCACTGGGGTTCTTGGCACCTATGCCTTATGGATAAAGTGGGACCACTGTAATTTGTAAAAGAAAAAAAAAGAGTGTTAATGAGAATTTGTAGAAATTGGAACACCCTCACACATTGCTGATGGAAATGTAAAAATTGTTCCAACTGCTGTGGAAAAACAATCTGGCAGTTCTTCAAAAAGCCAAACATAGAATTACCACATGGCCCACCAAGAATCGATTCTTGTACACCAGTGATCATGGCAGCACTATTCACAATAGACAAAAGTTGGAAACAGCCCTCATGACCATCATCAGATGAATGGGTTAAAAAAAAAAAACAAAAGATGTCATATAACACAATGCAGTGCTATTCATGTCATTCAGCCATATCTAGTATATGCAAACTTCTAGAAACAGAAAGTAGATGAGAGATTACCAGGGGCCAAGGAGGAGGGAGAGAATAGGAGTTACTATTTAATGGCTGTTGAGTTTCTGTTTAGGGTGATGACAAGTTTTTAAAGTTGTGGCGATGATCCACAATATTATGAATATAATTAGCGCCACTGAATTGTAGACTCAAAAAAAAGGTTAGAATGGCAAATTTTATGTGAAATATATTTTTTCAGTGATTAAAAAAAAAGAAGGAAGATGTGTAGGGAAAGTACATTGACATTTAGGGTGTCGGGGTGGGGGGCAGATCATAAAGCCTTACACAGCTGGCAAAGATGTCAGGACTTTATTCTGAAGTCTCTGAGGTTTCCTAAAGCTGAGCAGCCTGAGTTTTCCATGGGCCTCAGCTTCCTTGGTCTGAGAGACTTTATGACTTGTCTTTGAATTCTCCAGAGCACCTACCCTAACACAAAGGACAGATACTTATTCTCGGTCCATCACATTGAGTGTTTGATTCCTTGATTGCTTCCCTAAAGATAGATCATTTCATATATTTCTGTTTTTTTTAAAAAATTCTTGTTAAGGAAAATCGCATTTTCCCTGGGCAGTGCTTTTCTACACCCAGAAACGGCATCCYTTTATTTGCTCAGCTATATGGCAATAAGAGCCTCTCTCCGAGTCACTAAAAACACAAGTTATTTTTCTTAAGCCTGAGAAATTCCAGTCGTGACAGAAAGCTGGAAGCTCCTCTAGGACTCTTTTTATAGTCTTATTTTCTCTTATCATTTCTGGAGACCTAAATTTTCATTCATCCACAACTCCTGCCATAGCACTCATCAATCCAGTTTCAGAATAGGTTTTATATTCACAGAATTTTGTCTTGTCGGGAAAATTACCTGCAATGACCTACAATTGAATGGAGACTCACCTTGTCCTTGCAAAACCTCGATTTTTTTTCCCCTTAATTTCAAACACACTGCCTGCAGAGCTGGCAACACTAATCAACTGCCTGAACAAGAATATTTGCTTGGTAATATGAAATCCCTTAGCTAAAGAGCAAAGTGGCGCCTTCTAATGGGACCCCCAGGTCACCATTAGCAGTGATCCACCCCATTCTCACTCAGCACTGGCTCCTTGGTGACAGTGACAAGGGATGAAGTGGTGGGGTATTTTATAATGTGCTGGAATCAAAAAACACTAATGGGAACATCACAATTTCCAGCTTTCACATTCTATTACAAATTCTAACAATGTGCCATTGACTCGATTCCTTTAAAAATTAAAAGTTTGGTTGAATGAAGATGAATAAGGATGAAAAGCAGCATTTACCTGAGATGACTTTATCCTGTGGAGCAACTATTAAACCCCCTC